GCCTAGAGAGATCAGCCTGACCTTGGAGTGCCATCTTTTCACAAGGATGCAGCCCTCGCCACGGCTGTCTCCCAGAAGCATTGCAAAGATGGAGCAGAAGCTCAGAGGGCAGGAACAGGACAGAAGACGAGGCTCTTTTCCTTGCAGCTGCAATGACTTGAAAGGACTTCAAATTTCATTTCCTACTCTGCAAATGATAAATTAGTTCAGCCCCATCTCGAACTAATTCTCAATATGGAGAGACAAAATGGCATCTGTCCCTAAATGCAGGAAGGTCACTTTACAGCTATGCCACAAGACTGCATATATAAATTCTTGGAGGCAACCAGTTTTTTTAAGTTTAGAACTGGGCCAGCAGCATCTGTAGTCCTGCCAGTTTGGTGCTGTCAAGTATCAGTATTAGGCCTTAAGCTTCAAGACAATACCAGGCTCCAGGACTTGACAGGCTTTGTCTGAACTACAACCTATTTTAACTTAAACTTAGCTCTAATCCCTAAAGTTATTTGAGAAACTTTGCTGCACTTGCAACTTCCCACAGGATCAGATAACTTTTGCCTAGTCTGTCCTAGTTGCCATGTCAGATTGTCCTGGCTTTGGCTGGGATAGGAGTTCATTTTTTCTTAGTAGTTGGTACTGCACTGTGTTTTAGATTCAGTATGAAAATACAAAATCGCTTTCGTATACAAGGCTGAAGAGAAGTAAGCAAGCACCTGTCTGGTGCTTAGTTACTAGTTGGGCTTAAACCTTGATACAGATAGGTATTTGTTTGTCTTGTAATTTCAGCCAGGTTTTGGTTACATTTTTGTTTAACTTGTTCTGATTTCAGTTTTGCTTAGTTTTGGCCAAGTGTGTGGTTCTAAGCCAAAAATCATATTGTATATCAAGGAAAATATTAAGGAATTTAAGCAATCACAACAATGACTAACCCAGCCCATGGATCATCAGGAGAGAACAATGTGCAGCCATTAATAAATACAGGGTTACACTATATACAAAACAACCCCAAGCACCTTTAAGGCTAGGAGGAAACAAACCCCAGAACTTTGCCCAAGCAGGATCCAGGATTCTGACAGCTTACTCTCACATCACAAGTGCAAGGCAAGAGCTTAGCAGCAGAAGAAACAGGTAAATAACCACATCTGATGATTTTATTGCATTTGTAACCATCTCCAATAGAAACCGGGCAATTTGGATTATTTAACTGGAAAAATAAGTGGGTGTCCCTTTTTGAATTATTAAAAGAAGCAGAGTAACAATTAACTCATTCATTGTTGCTCATCATATATAATTAGAAGCGCAGTACAATCCTTAAAAAAAAAATCATCTGCAAATAAATAATAATAAACCAATCTGATGGGATGATAAAGATCTTTGCATACAACAGGCCTTCTGCTCTCTTCCAGAGCCTAAAATAAGTTACTTGTTTGGAGACATGCAGAATTTCACCCCACAGCAATCACTGTGGTATCCCCCTCCTATCCTACTCCTAACAGCATGCAGCTCTGAATCCCTTTATTTCTATTATTATTTTTGTCCAGCAATCTGGAAGTCTTAAATCTCAGCTCTGAGCCACACATGAGCACGACAGCAATGTGACAGAGCAGGTGTACATCTCTCCAGGCTTGCAAACTGAGCTGCTGCCTGTCATGTCTATCTCATTTCAAGTGAACTTTTGACAGCGTTCGTTTCTGGGTGAAGAGAAATCTGCTTTGTTTGGGGTCAGGGGGAGGAAGGCTGAGGAAGAGAACAGCTGCTCATTCCAGAAAACGCCTCTTGGAAATCCACCTGCTACAGGGAAAGAGGATCAGTTTGCTCAGGTGTACGTGGTGGGGGAGAAAAACAAACCAAGGAACACATTCCCAGGGTCCCGACCTTCAGATGCTTTGGGAAAAGCTTCCAAAGAGGGGCAAAAAAGAAGGCAGGGGTGCAAAAATCCTGACCCCTTACAGAGCCCTTGCAAAGGATGAAAAAGGCTTTGCTTTATTGTTTTGTTTTATTCCTTGGTATTATTTCAGTCTATCTGGTGTAATTCTCTGATTTTGTAAAACAGGTTTAGTTTTAGGCAACAAATGGATTTACAAGCTTTGCTGGAGCTTAATAGAGAGGATAACTTTTGAGGGGATTCTACACTGCTCCAGGTTGTGCCATAAGTTGTGAGCTATTTTCCATTCAAGTCAAGAGTAACAGTAAAGAAAGCAGCCATTACACAAATCTATTATTATTTCAAGTATTTCACATGGCTTAATTTTTTGGTGAGCTATGATTCAAAGCAATGAGCAAAACTAGACAGTGCTGTACCTGTGCATTTTGGATACAGCAGATAAACATCATCACTGGGGAAATGCAAGGACTCATGACCTTTTCCCCTTTTATGATTTCTACAGATTATCAACAAGATGACATTGTACCAGGGCAGTATTCTGGAAGATTACTTTTCATTTTGCAGATCACTTTAAGTATACATCCTTTGACTCCATACCTGTCCTAACAGCCCAAGACACACAATTTACTCCAAGAAATAAAATAGCTAAAAAAACCCAAACAAACAAACAAACAAAAAAAACCACCAAACAAACAAACAAAAAAAACCCAACCCCCCCAAAAAACAATAACATAAAAAACAAACAAACAAAAAAAACCAGGCCCCCTCAAAACCCCCCCCCGAAAAAAAAAAAAACCACCATCACTTCTAATTTATGAGATCACTGGTCTAAGAAATCTGTCTGTAATGCTACTACCACTTCAGACAAGGAGGCTGTGTCAGGGAACTCAAAAAGGGAATGAGATGTAGTAAGGTCAGTCTGAAAAAGTAGTTCATATCATCTCCAGCAATCACTACAGGACAGGAGTCATTCCAGATCACAAAAGAGGAACTCAAATGCTTGATTCCTGTTAAGCATAAATTCTGACTGCTTTCTGCATGCAATGAAAAGAGATTACTAAAAGGGAAAATTTAAAAAAATATAAAAAGCAAGGCTTAACTAGGCTCTTTTTATAAGGAAGGTGAAGTTGTGGCATGTGCTTAAACATGAGATGGAAGGTGCATCCTGGCCACTCAGAGATCAGAACAGGGAAAACCAAAGTTCTTTAGCTCAGACCCAAGGTGTTCTCTCTCCCTTATTCAAAGACAGCTATCACACTTCCACTAGCCACTGATCAGATAATATGGGTTTTGAGTAGATGTGTGATGGTCAGATTTACCACCACTGACTGCCACAGCCACCACAGCAAACACCCTGTACATTTAGTCTGGAGAGCAGCATAAAGGGTAGAAATATTTCCAGACATAGCTCCTACACCTCTGGCATTTGCTTATCTGTAGTATGACTCCTAGGATACTTGTGACATTTTCACTTACTGGGACTATCAGGCAGGACTTCCCAAGTAGAGTGGCACTGAGAACCTTAAACAAGACTGCCAGAGGCACATTTAAACTAATAATTGCTTTCTCTGTTAATACTACTTAATTTTAAAGATTTACAAAACATTTAGCATTTAACTTTCCCGCAGAGAACTGGAGTGCTCTTTCATTCCACCCTCATTGGTCAACTCAGTTTAAACACTCAATTTTCAAGTCAGTGAGGAGGAGTCCTGCTTAAAGAACAATAGCACAGCTAGCCCTTGTCTACAAAGGTGTTATATAAGAGGACAGGTTGTGCTCTATAGATGTGTTCAGCCAATTAATTTTTTTTTAATCACCTTCTTTTCCATAAAATTTTGCTCCAGTGTCTTAGCACATACACAGAGCATCAGTTGGTAAACCTCAAAAAGCCTGATGAATATTTTAGAAGCACGTCACTTACAGACATGCTTCTGCTGGCCTTTAATTAAAATGAGACCCTCAGTAGAGCTCACCTTCCATTTAAGCATCAGAAAAATCAGGCAGCCAGGTTTTCCAAAGCCCTGCCCTGAGCATTTAGTAACCATCACTGCTAATAGGAGCTCCTCAGCCCTTCAGCACTCGTGAAACCTGGCAGCGTACTTCTAGAGCAGACGCTTGGGTTCCTCACATCAAAAGAACCCAACAGGCCTCAAAATCTTATTTCAAAGAATTACATGTGTCACATTTCACTTAAGAGTTTCCTGACTAATAAAAGAGATCAAATTTTTCTGCTGCAGCTCTGTACTGGGTTTGCATGGCCAGGTTTTGGGGAGGGGGGTGCTGGTTACAGGGGTGGCTTCTGTGAGAGGCTGCTTGAAGCTTTCCCTGTGTGTGACAGAGCCAATGCCAGCTGGCTCCAGGACAGACCCATCACTGGCCAAGGCTGAGTCCATCAGGGACTGTGGGATAAGCTATCCAAGAAAAGGAACAAAGTCACTGCTTTGTGAGAGAAACAGCTCTGGAGACAAGGTCAGTGAAGGAAGAGGGGCAGGAGGTGCTCCACATGCCAGAGCTGAGAATTCCCTGCAGCCAGCCCTTGGAGGTGAAGCAGCTGTGCCCCTGCAGCCTTGCTGTGGCTCTGTGCAGAGAGAAGCCCACGCTGGAGCAGGTTTGCTGGCAGGATTCGTGACCCCATGGGAGCAACCCACGCTGGAGCAGGGGAAGAATGTGAGGGCTCCTCCCTCTTGAAACAAGATGGGATGAACCGAACACAACTCCCATTCCCTGTGCTGCTGCAGGAGGGGAGGTAGAGACAATCGGGAGTACTTTCACTTCAGGAGGAAGGCAGGTGGGAGGGAAGTGTTTTTACAATTTGCCTTTATTTCTCATTACCCTACTCTGATTTGATTGGTAATAAATCCATTTTTCCCCAAAAAGAAGGAAGAAAAATCCATCTAGTGTAACAGCTAAACTCAGAAAAAGAAACCTTTATCTGTCACCAGAGTTCTTTGTTTCAGCAGTTAAGTCATAATGTAACCTGGGAATTTCAAAGACTTGAGGTGCAAGCAGGGAGAGAAACATCCTGTAAAAAAACCCACACCATTAGGAAAACAAAGACAAAATCCTTGCTATGTTCTCTTCCCTTCCCACAGGCACAATTACACCACCTCTCACTCACCATGGGAAAACGGTGTTAAGAGCATTGTGAAGAACAGCAGCTGTGATGACCACATGACTGTGAAGGAGAGCTTGAAAGTATCCCAGCAAACAAGGGTTCAAATAAAAAGGTGAGCGTCCTCCTGCACTTGCTTCCAACACTTCAACTGTTGTTGGCCTTCAATTCACATCCAAAAAGGGGAGGGAAAAAAACAATCAAAAATAATAATAATAAAAAAAAAAATCCCACAGCCAGTATCCAGAGTCTGAGACCTACAAATGAGAAAGGAAAAAAAAAACTGCAGTTAGTAAAACAGTAAGATAGGTGTTTTCAACCAAGTCTTGCTGCGTTTCTTTGCTGCCAGCAGCTGTAAAGGCAAATGTGTCTTCCCCACTCCCTGGCCCTTCAGATGCATGCACATTCCAACATAAAACAGGAATTAAAACTTTTGCCTGTGCAGAGAAGCAGTTACCAGTTGGTGGATAACCAGTGCTCTGCTTCCTCTCTCAAAAGAGGGCCCCAGACAGCAGTTTTGAACAAAAAACCTAAGACATTTCCCTCCCTTTTGCATTTCTGTCATGCCTCCGATGTGGATGCTAACGGCAAGATACCAGGCCAGGCAGTGGGATTAGTAACATAGCTTGGGAGCATTTCCACTGATGATATGCCAAAAAGCCTCTCTTTGTTTGAGGCGACCTGTATGGCTTTTAATCACTGAATCTGGACCAGGCTTTGGACCCCAGCAGAGCCCAAAGTCACCCTTATCCTATAACCAGCTTCTCACTGCCAGTCAAGCTCTCCAGTTATTTATTGTGGAATTAAAAATAATGGTCTTGTCCATGCCACACGCTTGCAGGAAAGCGCAGGGAAATCTGAATCCATGCTTGAACAGAAACATTCGCTCATTTAGCCGGAGAATGTACTCCAGCTTTCCATCATTTTAATCTCTCCAGAAGGGGCTACATGGCCACGGTGACTCAAACTTGGCAGGAAAAAAACAACTATACAGAGTTAAACTACGGCAGCAGTTTGAAACTTAGCTCCCCACTGACTTCGAAATGATGAGGAAATATGAGGAATTGAGAAGTACTTTATATATCTGTTTGGAACTCCTTAGACTCTGCAGTCTTCACAGTACTGGTCTAATTAAAAATCTCTCCAAAAATCTCTGATCAACAGAAGTTATTCTTCTCTGAGTACAGAAGCTGTTTTTGCCAACTTTTGTTCTTGCCCAAAACCAAGTCTGAGCCAAAAAACTGTATGAAAAAACTGTGCTGCATGCCATTGTGATGCGAGTATATTTCTGAAAGTCTGGCATGACAAAGTGCCCTTTGTTTTGCTTCCTATCTTTACTGATCAACTAAATAAAGCCCTATATTGTTCAGAATCAAATTCTATAAAGAAGCTTCATTTTTTTTTTAATAAATATATCTTGCACTGCCAAGATTTTATTCTCTCACTTGACTCTCCTCCCCAGTCTGCCCCTGCAATTTGTTCACTCAAATGTAGCCTTTAGTTTCCATAGTTTTTTTCTGATCTCTGTATGTGGGGTTACTAAAAAATCCAAGGTCAATCTGCAGTCAAGTGGCTTCTTTATGGACATCCTTGATATTAAAACTTGGCTTGAGCTGGGACTAATCAAAATGGTCATTGATAATATTAAAAGTCTGTTTTTCAAATAGAGAAGAGCCTCATGAATGTTTTAAATTGTACATTCTAAACAGCGATCAAGTTTTCCATTTATATTTTAGCAGGCTACTAGTACACCATCAAACTACAGCACTGCCATTATTTATGCATGCCTTTTCTATAGCATCCTCTGTAAAGTTACAAAAGTGAGAAGCTTTTTGTGCTACAAGATTTTAAAAGACATACAGAGATGGTTGAAAACTATCTGAGCACAGGTACACTTCCCTGAAGCAAAAGCTCAGGGAAGCACAGTGAAGGAGCAAAGGTTTGTTTTCGATTTTCATTTGTTTTAACTGAATCACTTATGAATAATCTAAGCCTGTTATAAAGAGATAACATTATGGTGCACTAAACAGGTTTTGGGTATAACCTAAGAAGCCACAAATTAATTAGGTTCTCTATCCCAGAGAAGGGATAATTGTCAGCACAATACTTACAGAGCCCTTTAAACATTTTTTTTTTATCTGTCTATACATTCCTGCATGATAGGATTCTAGGATTTTTTTTCCTATCATCTCATGGGCTGAGGCTGAACAAGCAAAGCATTCACACGCCCTCTGCAAAGTCCAAACACTAATTTTTGAGAACTAATGTCTTGGAACCACTAGAGCCACAAATAAACATTTTATCCTCCTGAAAAGTACATTACTGAGTCACAAAGCTCATGTGCAAAAGAGACGAGGACTAGCTCATCACTACGCACCATTTACTCCAGTTGTAAATCGGACCAAATATTCTCTGCCCTACTGTCCTTCCTGCCAGGGGAGAACACGCCAGAGCCGTGGCCTGTCAGGTGATGTCTGCACACCCTGGCTGGCACAACCTTGCCCTGAAACTTGCTTCTGCAAAGCCTTCAACTCCTCCAGCTTCAGCTCACACACAAGTATTACCAAATACACAATGCGTCTGGAGACATGCCAGCTGTGTTTAACAACACAGGGCACCACCAGATTAACCAAATACATTGGAATGCTGAAAAATTCTGGGTGGGTTTGTATTTCATGTAATCAAATAGTCACAGTGTGTTTGTGAACTGGATATCTGCAGGAAAACAGCTACATAGGAAATGAGCGGAACAACCCTTCTTCTTAATGGTCACTCAACCCCCACAAGCAGCATTGTAAGACACAGAAAGAGGCCGGCAAAATAAAATTAACTTCATCGTTGGATTACCTCCAGCTAAAGTACAGTCAAAGAGAGAAACTAGAGAAAACAGCTCACTGTCTGTGAGCTGTTTGGTGCAGAGTATTACATTTATTGATGCAAGAAAGGGATATACTATCACAGTGAAAAATTTAAGGGCTTTACTTACGGGGTTTGGACTTTAACCACAAAGATGATGCAGCCTGCATTGATTTAAGAGAAAGTTCTTCTGCTCACTGACCTTTATACCCAAAGGGCTGCCCCTGACACCTCCACAGTCTGATCTGCTGCATCACCCAAACCCAAACTGCATGCTGGCAGTTCCCAAAAATCCAGCTCAAAGTGCTACTGACAGAATAGGAGAAAGCTAAATAAAGGCAACTAAGGCCTCAGAGTGAAGAGATGAGCAGTGAAGTATTCATCAAGGCGTTGCTCATAAAAGAGCATTATAGATACACTGACAAACTCAACATCTACCCAAGTCTGTTCTTCAGCAGTTGATGTCAAGCAGCACATGGAGCATTTTCTGAGCTCATCTGTCGGCAGTCTACAGGGAGGGTGAAAAAGAAAAGGAAACCAGTTTGTGTGGTGAGTTAACATATAGGCTGAATTCAAAGCAGAATTCAGAGCAGCACAAGCCAAACCTGTCAGAACCCCATTTTATTACTGCCTTCTTCCAAACACAAGCATTTGCACCTGCACAAAACTGTACAATGCCCTTCTCACATGACAAAAGCTGCTTCAGGTATCCAGCATTTTCTAGGCAGCCAGGGGAAGGGAGAGAGCATCTTACAAAGGTGCCCATTAGCAAGAAGCAGATAGAAATGCTGGGGTTTTCTCATCTAGTTTTACTTGCAGCAATTTCCTCCCCACCCCTGAAAATGTGCATAGCAAAACTAGCTTAAACAAATCAAGGATACAACGATTGATTTATATTTCTTGATAGAAAAGATTCCAGCACTTATTCTCCTCCTCTGGCAAAAGTCATGCAATAAATAGGAAATAAGTGTGATGTTTTGAGCAAATATTGATGAAATTCACTATTTAGGAGGGGAAAAGTTTGGAAGTAATTAAACTCCTTGAAGCTAATGGTCCAAGCTGGAACCGTGGGTGTAATTCCCCATTTTCAGCATCTACTACTTGAGATAATTTATTTCAGGCAACATACTCAGAATTTTGCTAAGAGAGAGAAGAGAAATAACTCAATAAGAAAAAATAAAACATGCAATCTCTGCAAAATTAAATTAACTGCAATTTAATGTTAGAAAATTTCTTTAAGTAAGAGAATGAGCTGTATTTCCACTCCCATTACGAATGCCTAAACAAAAGAATTTCTGCGATATGTTTGGCCATAAGCTGTTTCCAAAACATTTAGTTTATTTTCTGCAACATTATTGAAAAGGAAAGGTTTTGCTCCTCCAGTCTCTTTCCACCTTTATCCTATTTCAATTCATTTTCCCTGTCAGGTACTCAGGATGTGGCTCCCTGGTCACACTGTGGTGGCAGCAACACAACCTGCCACGTTTAAAAGGTCACACAGGCATTACCAACTGCATAACACAGGGCGAGCAGGGCAGGAGCAAGCTGCACTCCTGGCATTTCCACATGCACTCTCACTCATAACCACTCACTGAAGTTACTGCTACATGGTCATCCATGGACAGATTTTTCCATGTGCATTTCTAAGAAGTCAGGAACATGTTTCTGAGACAAACGAATTGTCTAAAAACTTTTATCTGTCTGCATTCAGCCCAGGAGAATTTTCATCCTATACCACAAATACTTATGAGATCAGATTTCTCACTGAGTTCAGAAAAAAACACATTTGTTTCTCAAAATAATGAGAGCTGTCCACAGCTTTTAGCTCTTCATTTCAAGTTTTGATTTTGCCAGATGTGAGGAACCACTGTGAGAGCCAGTGAGCCTTCTTAGGGTGACAGGACTCACCAGATAATGGCCCAAACTGCTCACATCTACATCCTCTTTCTATACTGCAGACCCTGCTTCTGCTCCCACACCTCTGCTGAGGCTGTGAGCTCTGAAGGCAATGCCTCAACCCTCTCAGTATGTGCAAAATAACACGGTATTTCTAAGTCACGTCTTCCAAAAAAGATTTTAAAATGAGCATTTGCACCTCTATTGCACTTAATTGCCATTACTGTACATTAATATTCATTTCATCCATATTGTCTGAGAACCCAACACCATTCTGCTTGTTATTTCCTCCCTTATACCCGATGCAGCATTCAGGAAAGCAATTCAGAAACCTTAAAAACATGCAACGACGACAGCAAGGTTTAATAAGACTGTATTTATCCTGGATTCTCGGGTATCACTGCAGTGCTACTTACGCTTCCCTGAGGGGAGAGGCCAGGGCAGCAAGGAGCCACTCTCAGCTCAAACCAGGCTCATCAACCACCTGTTTAGGCTATAATTCAAA